CCTATTGGAAGATGAGTTATTAGAGTACATCAAAAAAAAAAGGGAGGAAAAAGGCATGGTCACGACATCTATGATTATAAAAAAAGCCAAAGATTTGGGAACAAGCCTAGGTCTTAGTGATATCAAGTTTTCCTGAGGTTGGGCCGAACGTTTCAAACAGCGGCATAAACTAGTAAAATGTGCTCGAACCCAAATAGACCAGAAGGTTCCTGAAGACATGCCACAAATTGTTATAAATTTCCTTCAGATTGCACGTGAAAAAACGTATAATATTGAAAAAAAATTTATTATTTCTTTTGACGAAACGCCTATGTGGTTCGACATGCCACGAAATTCAACAATTGATTTTAAAGATGTTCGTGAAGTAACAGTTAAATCAACAGGAAGCAATAATCTACGTTTTACAGTAGTTTTGAGCTACACCACGGCTGGAGAAAAACTTTACCCGATGGTAATCTTTAAACTAAAGAAAAAACCAAAGGGCAAATTTCCACGAAATATTGTGGTTGCAACAGTACTCTCTGCAAACATGACGCAGGATTTAATGATTTCTACGTTTATTCCACGAGTTGTTCGGGCCAGGCTCTATGGTTTTTTTAAAAGCAAGGGTATAATTTTTTTTGATGCGCATCGCAGTCATAATCTTGATGGTGTAATAAGAAAGTTAAATTCAGAAGGTTTGGATATTTTAGAAATACCAGGTGGGACAACATGTGTTTTGCAGCCTCCGGACGTTTCAGTAAATAAGCCCTTCAAAAATGGAATGCAAAGAAGATGGGAAGAATGGATGGATAGAGGGAAAGTAGTGCTTACCAAAAAGGAGAACCGCAAGAAGGCGTCATATAAGCTAGTTTGTGAATGGGTATCTGAAACCTGGAAGGAAATCAGTACAAATGTGTTGGTTAAATCTTTTGAAGTGACGGGATTAACGCTTAATCCTAATAATAGCGAAAATAATAAAATGTCAAGCCGTCTGCAGGCCATTGTTGAAAACCGTCCAATTGAAAGAGAAATATTTTTAGAAAGTGAATCGAATCATTATAATGAGCTAGATAATGAACCAGATAATAATGAGCTAGATAATGAACCAGGTGAGTTAGACGATTATGATGAAAATATGATAGATAATGATTCAGATTTTGATAGCAATGAAGATGAGCAGATAGATAGCGATGAAGCAATAGATGTCGATGAAGTAGTAGATAGCGATAAAGCGATGGAAGTCGATGAAGTAGTAGAAATCGAATAGAATCGGTAAGTAAATTGATTGATAAACAGAATTACCTATAAGTAAAACCCAATTTTATACTTATCTTTATCTTCATTCATATTAGTAGCATATCGTCCTATCCGAAAAGGTGCTGTGGTACAATTTTCAATATTCTTAAAATTTATTATATCACTTTAATAACTGCTAGCAGTCTGTATAAAAAAAAATTTAACATTGTTAATATTGCATTTTTCAATACTAGATACGTATGTAAATAATATACTGAGTAAAACTTCCCTTCTAAATAAATAACTATAGAGTTTGATATTTTGCTGTAAGTGAATATTTCTATAGTGCAAACCTGTTAAATAAATCATTAAATTGATAAGTTTAGAGATCAATAGTATAATAAGATATTTATTACAATTAGGTTGAGTCATTGAAGTCTGGTAATAGAATTTAGATTGTGAGGCGCAATATGTAACTGGCCAATAAGAATTGACTATATATATATACATATATCATGACTTTAAAAAAAATCTATTCGCTATATGTTCTGTAGATTTTATTTATATAGGCAGTAGTAAATTCCCGACTATTTGAACGATACTTAAATACCTTGTAACTCTAAAATACTAATTACATCTACTTTGACTCTTATCCCTACTAGCTTTCTTCACCCTGTGCGCGTGAACTATGTTCTACTACGTATATACAAACTAGTTAATGAATAAGAATAACGGATAAGAGATAGACTCAGATAAAGGAAAGACACCTTGCAAGAATACCTCATTGAATTCTTCAAATCTTAGAAAGAATGAACTTGGATCAGCTGAGAGAAAAGCATTAGCAGTTACATCTTGCAAAAATATCTCGCTAAATTCTTTAAAGCTTAGAGTGAATAAGTATTAGCAAATATGCTTTGCAAGAACACTGCACTGACCCTTGATTAGAATAAACGAAGGAAATTGCATTAGCAAATGCACTTTACAAGGACTTTACGCTAACTTGGATCTTGTCTTAGACAAAAAAGAAGAAAAGGCATTAGCAAATGTGCTTTGTAAGAACACTATGTAGACTTCCTGATTTTGGATCTTCGCCGTAATGAACTTGAATCAGAAGGAAGAAAAGCATTAACAAATGCATTTTGCAAAAGCTCATGCTATTTTCTTCAGAACTTTGGGACTTCGGGATAATAAATTGGGTTAGGTGGAGGAATAATAGTCTTGGATTAAGAGAAGCAAGAGCATTAGCCAAAAACGCACTTTCAGAAATACCACACTGATTTATTTGGATTTTAATTTAATAACCTCAAATCAGAAGTAGGAAATTCATTAGCAAATACATTTTGCAAGAATACCATTTTCAAGAAAATAAACTTGGGTCTGAAAGGGAAAGACATTATTAGGTACACTTTGAAAGAACTTCACGCTGACTTTTTTGGATCTCTCAAAATAACGGTCTCGAACCAGAAGAATAAAAGGCGTCAGCAAATACACTTCGCAAGATCATCAAATTGGCCTTTTTGAATTTTTATGAGAAAATATTAGCCGCAAGAATATCATCCTTATTTATATGAACCAAAGCATTAGCCGGGCATTGGGTTACCTTTTGAGATTAATATTTTTAATAAATTTTTTTATTTATAAGAAAAAAAACCCGAGTTGGCAGGTTAAAATAAAATTTTAATATTATAAGAACTGTTTCGTATTGTCTTAGAGTTCTGCAAATGCTAGACACAGGCAGTAGGTTTTAATAGTATCATGTCTAGCACTTGTAGAACTCTAATTATAATCTGTTATTTACTGTATTTAATTAGAAACCTAATGTTAATAGTTCGAACCTAGAAGTATTATGTTAATAATATGTGATATCATGTGAAGCTTGGAATTTGAAATACTATGTAATTTACAGTCTATTTTAAGAGATCGTTCCATTCTAAAAGATATTTACTGGTATGCTATGTATAATAATTACATTATTTAACCTATTTTATACTATATGTAATTAATACATTATAAGGGTACGCATTATTTCGGGATACACATAGACATTATTTTGAAGCCATATATGCTATTTTTAAGAAGTCCAATTTTCGAAATAACACCCATGCCCGTTATTTCGCAAAAATACGGTATAATAAATTATAAAGAAAAAACTTTTAATAATAACTAACTAACTATAAGAAAAACCTTTTATTTAACCCATATAATATAATGAAGGTTTTTATTTTCATATACTAATTAAATAAATTTAGAGTAAAGA